GGTTTGTAACGAATTGCATATGCATATGCTAACTTAGAATTCATTATTGTTGTGTAAGGCATTTAGATGAACTGTACTGTAAACTGTGGGTATCTCGACTTGAGGTATTGTAATTGTATTATTGTAGTTGTGAAAGGTTAAAATACTAGTGCAAGTGCTAATTTTAAGTTGATTATACGTTGTTTGGCCGTTTGGAAAGATCATTACTTATTTTCCTTAGTGGAATTTATGTCAAATATGGGGTTTTGGCAACTAAATCTTGTCTGGGTTATTGTTGTTGTTGGGATTTGAATGTTTATACAGGTATTTGTGGTCCATTTGAGTTGGTTTGAGTGGTCCCACAGCTATTGGCACTTAGATTGAGAGTTTGGACACCTTGGTAGTGGTTTTTTCAAGGAAAATTAGTCATTTTGGATTTGGGTGTCCAAATCTCATTTATTTAGTGTTTGGGTGTGTGACTAGTGCAAATAGCTAGATGGCTTTAAGAGTTACGTTTGGACATTGAGTCACTTAAGTTGAACGCCGAATGATGAAATGGCTTGCTCTAGAAGTTGATTCGGAGAGATGCCATGATAGCAATTGCTATCATGATAGGGGACGCATACAGCGCACAAAGAGGGAAGTTTCCCTCTGTATAGTCTGTCGTGGCAGATGTCGCACTACACCGCAACTTATTGTGCCCTATTGTTGAGAAATTTTTAGTTCTGCTCATTATTTATATGTGACAAATTTTCATGCTTTCATTGTCTTGTTTATTTGTTTTAAACGATAGTTTGAGGTCAAACGGTCTATTAAAAAGTGTTTTATAGGATTCCAATTTCTTGAACTTCTTTCTAATCCTTGTGTTTTATGATGACCATTTTCTTTAGATTAGACTATTTCCAGTTATCATAACGATGTTCCATGTTTGGTGTCCTGTGTGTTTGGTAATGTCAAGGATAACGTTACAAAATGCATATGTGGGGTTTGTTTATGTTGTGTTCAATTAAATGTCTTCTTAAATTCATTTATCAGTGCCCTTTATGACATATTTTCTTAATTATTTTCAAGTTTGTAACCAAAGGACATGACAGGGTTAAGACTACATTTTATACTGATTTACATGATCTAACTACTAGGAAATCAATCCATGATGATAAACATATGTCTGGATTTCCTTAACAATTCATATAATTATTTATATTTTAAAGATAGGCTATCTTAGCCCTTACGTTGACTGTGGTTGAAGACTTAAATAAGTACATGTTGTCCCCACTCTTTAGAGAAGAAGTTGTATAATTGAATTTCGATAGTATTATGCTTTTGATGGGGAAATGAATTCACTTAATGACTTGTACTTTACAAATTTCTAAATTCAATTATATTGACAGGCCTCCCAAATCATGAAATAAGGCTGAAAGTTGGTGCCCAATTATTTTAATGCAGAATATGAGGTTTATACATTGATACATGTCTTATAGTTATATAAATTGAAAAACATTTTATTGAGGCTAAGAATGTCTGGGTCAATTGCAAGGACAAAAGTATATATAACATGTATTGGTATTTGTCCATTTGATTCCAGGTTATCATTTACTATGAGGATGCAATTTCCCATTACTTTAGCCTTTCCAATGATCATCAATAAGAGCCAGGGATAAGCCTTTGCTATGTCAATTTGTATCCACCTCGTCTTGTTTTCATCCACGAACAATTATACATTACTTTTACTTTGTTCAAAGCAAGGAGGGTTTAAAAATATTAATTCTTAATGGGTGGTCAATCTACAGATAAAACCTCTAATGTTGTTTATAGGAAAGTTTTCAATAATTTGATATAATTAATGATGAATTTTCGTTAACCTGCTTCCTACCGTATCCATTCACACTACGCATTTAGTTTTTAGCAACAATTTTTTTAACTCTAATATACATATTTAATATTAAAGACAATAATTACATAACCCTACTATGTATTGGATGACATGGAGAAGGTGTCTGCTACAAGCAATGATTAAAAAACCAAAGCGACTAGACGGTTGGACTGGTTTGTCTGTCGATAAGTTCGGATTCTGGTTCGGTTAGTATGTAAAAACTATTTTAGGGGTTGAGCTGGGTTAGGCCATTTTAGAACAGGAACTAGAATCAAGCCGAAAACTGAATCCAGTTTTCAAGAACCAGATTATTCAAAAAAATTATTTTTTTATCAATTTTTTTAAGAAAATGACTAATTTTTTTAATTATTTGATATTATATTGTATCATATGCTTGTTAAATCATGACAAATTTAAAATATTTGGTTTTATTTTTATGTTGTATCATATGGCTTGTTAAGTCATGATAAATTTAAAATATTTGGTTTTATTTTTAAGTTAAGTAGTAATTTTATTTAATTTCTTATATTTAGATTATTATATACATATATAATTTTTTAATTTAATTATTACGTCACTATTTAACCATTAATCTAACTTAATTGAACATACAATTATAAACCATTGACTTTCTAGTTAGTATCCGATTCGGTTTTGAAAACATTAGCTACAAGTTATTTTTTGAAAAAAAAATTCCTACAAATTAACATTTATTTATAAAAAAAATGTAGTATGAAATGCACGGTACTTTACTAGTTTTGCATATACGATGGATCAACTAATATATGCTTATTTTATACAATAAACAATTACAATTTTACAGAACATGATTAATTATTAACTAAAAAATTATAAGATGAATTAGGTTGTTATAGAGGGAAATAGTGAATGTTTTGAATCTACAAAATTTTTTATTTTGAATCTGCTTTTTTTTTTTTTTTTAAGTATAAGTGCTTTCATTTGCTAAGCATGAAATATTATTATTTTTTTGGGTATGGGAAGGAAGTTATATTTTTGAAAACATTAAATTGCCAAATAATATCCATCTTTTTATTTTGTTTCTATGCTCTTCTAACATTTCATTAAATAATTACAGTCCAAAGACATTGAATAACTCAATATTTTGCTGACGAAATAAAACATCAACTATTATAAATTTCTTTTGACATATAATTAGTTTGGTCATATATAAATAAATTTGTACAAAAGACTTAAAAATACTGACCATAATAAAAGTAATACGACATCTTCAAGAATAATCAATATTGTAGTCAAAGAGATATTTGAAATATTAATAATGGATTATAGTTCTTTTCTATGTTATACTTTGAATTGATTATTATTTGCTTAAATTTTTTTATGATTTGCACTTCTCCATCAAAATTAATTATGATTATGTCATTTACATTTATTATTCGTTCAATTGGTCGCAAATTAATGCAATTCAATTAAAGATTACAACAAAACTCAATAACACATCAGCATGGTTGATTTCAAATACATAGTATGTACAACAATAATATTCTATAATACAGTTTATCCTACAAGAAAGTAACTTTAAAGAAAGCATGTATATTAATCTAATTAGCTGATATATCACCTGTGCATCGAGGTAGGACACTAGTTATATATACATACCTACATACATACATATATATATATATATATTACAACTTTATGCCTCCTAATTTTGTGAAAAATAATTTTTATATAAGGATAAATCTAAACAAGTCTGCCTAAATTTATTTTACCTAGACATTGGAACTTTAAAAAATTTCAATTGAAAATATTTTGCAGTGTATCCTAAATTCCTGATAGAGAGCAGCAGCATCTCCTTAGTTATAAAAGGCTTGACATAGAGTTTTAAGCGAGGTCTGCACCTCCAACTCCAGGAACAAGATCAAACAGTTTCTCAACATTGGCAACCAATGGAAATCAGGGAGCTAACAAGTTAACCAAACTTCACATTAGAGCCAGTTGTTACGAATCCTGTGACCTATGCCCTACGGTCTAAACTTTATCTTCAAAATAACCATTTCTCGGAACCAAACATCACCTCAGGCCTGAAGGGATATCACTGTTAGATGCATGAGCGAAACCTGTATCTCTGCCCGCATATCTTAGATATCAGATTTATCGCCTTGTAAAAGTAGCTATAGGCACAAAAATAACTGCCAAGGCCGCTCACATCTTCCAAACAGGTGTGCAGTATAGCAATATCCCAAAAAAGAATGAAACGCAAATTGTAATCATAGCATATAAATATGCTCTCCAAGGATGCATGCTTTCTCTCATGGCATTAAACTCAGCAGCAAAAGTAGATACCGTACTGAGACAACCCAGTAAGCCAAACTGTATGCCTGTGACAACAGTGTCACAGTTTTTGTTGTTCACCTGCATAAAGCCCCCATATATAGCTCAGAACCTTCGCATTTATCATGCAGATTATTAAACTTAAGTGGAAAATAAGGCCCCATCATCAAAAACGAAAAGATAGAACAATAAAAGGGTTGGGCAAGGACAGTGATTTAAAGAATTAAATACCAGTCAAAATTACAGGGAAAACATAACTTTAGATTCCTGCTTGAGTTTTGCTATAAGTCTCTGTAATTTTTTTTATATTCTAAGTCCTTACACTTTTATTTTTTAATGTTCTAAATCCCTATAACATTACTCCTAAAAAGAATTGGAACATCGAAAAAAATTGTAGGGACCTATAATAAAACTCGAGCAAAGTGTAAATACTCAAAGTTATATTTTCCTAAAATTAAAAGCATGATAATAGCATGCCCACAGCATAACAACGGAGATGATTTTCTATGGCAGAAGAAAAGGGAGAGATCCAATCATCCAAGGGAAATAAATAACACTCTCAAACCAATCCTTGTAACTTACTGATTTCTTCAGAGTAGCAAGTGCAGCCATGACACAAGCAGCAGAAACATTGGCAATTAGAGTCCCGAATGGAATCCATTTGAACAACCCGTTTCTTCCTATTCCACGACCATTGAGTCGGGCTAATAACCACCTAATCCACACACCTAGAGGTCCAACCATGCATGCAAACCACAACTGAGCTGTACTGCCGCCATGCTTGAACTCCATGGCTACAAGCGCACAACTAATACCCCATAGCAATCCTAGCATTACCAAGAGCACCACCATAACTGACAGATGATGTGTGCATTTGGCCACCTTCCAGTTGACCGTAGAGCTATGATTTTGACTTCTTGAACCCATTTTAAGCTTGCTGAGAAGCCACTTAAAACCTTTGGCTGTCTCTACTCCAAATATGATGGAAAAGGCAACAAGAAACAGACCTGCTAGATACCAATCGTTCATAAATTCATGTTATCAACTGGAACATACTGAAATAAGGAAGAAATTTAATTCACACTATTTAGGATAAGAAATAGAGAGGGGGGAAAGGAGAGAAACAATGAGTGAGAAGAAATGCTAGAAAATTATACATATCAAATGTGCCAGATTACCTATTAAAAAGCCAAGCACAAGGAAGAGCCAATGTCCAGAAACACCAAGTTCAAGCATGTCCTGATTCCAACCACTGAAAGTTGTTAGGCTCCCCAAGTAACCAGTAGTTAGTGCAATGGCTAGATGTTCTGATACATTGGATATGTCTTCTTTAAATACAACACCAAACCATCCCATTAAAAAGGAACCAACCTGAAAGAATTTATTAAAAAATTATGTTAACATGATCTCTAAATGGGGTACCTTAGAACAACCTAAATGTAAACAGTGTTATTAATTAAACAGCAAGGAAGAAATAGTAAGCAACAACTTACATAAGTTGCCAAATTCTAAAGGTCAAATTGAAAATCATGTCATAGAGACAACACTTCTAAACTAGTGTTTATTGTGAAGTATTTGTGTTAAGACCCAATGGAATAGAGGGTCTTTTCAAAATGCGTCTCCATAATTTTTTCAGCCATAAACACCCAGATAAAATAAGGATACCTCAGTGTGCCATAGGGAATGTAACACTATAAAAGCTCCCAATCAAGTACAATCCCATTAATACATTTTAAGCAAGTAAAAATAAGATAAAAAAAAAACAGAAACAAATAAGAAACTAACAAAATAATTGCATTAATAAGTCACAATGAAACATTTTGGTTTCAAGCATTTCTAAATTTCTCACTTTCCACAAAAAACGATGCTGCAATATGCTATTCAGTGCTTAATAATCCATAATTCATTAAAGATGTCACCACATGAAAACCCTCTGTAGTTAGTAGCATTCTCAAGTCATTTAACATCTTTCACTTGGTGAAATATCTGGAAGCTTTATTTTGCCCAAAAAGAAAACCCTACTGTTTTATTTATCTCCTTGGGCGGCTTTATACAACAGTAGCTGCCAGGTACACGAACCAAGGGTGGGAAGAAAAACTAGAACATGTTTCATTACGATGTATGAATGGGTTTTGTAGTTATGATATGATCTGTCATAGGCAGCGGAGAAGATGACATTATTCTTTGGATTTCTTGGAACAGTAATGACAGAACTGAAACTGTTGTCTCTTTCTTTTCTCAAGAAGGAGCCTGAGTTGGGGAGGAGCAGAAACATCAGTCTATCTCTCCCTCCCTCCCTCCCTCCCTGTATTTATTGGCTGGTCAACAGATAGGGCCCTTTTGCTTCATCATTCTCAATCCTTCTCGTGATGGTGATTGTTTAGCTAACCCTCTGTCCACAGTCCCCTCACATGATAGCCTTCTTAGAACTCGTTTCATTACCTTGCATAATTAACGTCAGCTCGAAATTTACGGTCCAAGCAATTTCCATTTTCTTCACCCAAAAAATATAATAATGATCTTGAAAAAGAGTCAAGAAATATATAAGGGGGAAGACTAATAGGTCAAATAGCCGTGCTCATGTAAGGCTTTTAATGAGAGCAGACAGCCAAGCAGTTAGATGGAGATGGTCACCACTCATCATAATAACCTCAGAATTCAGGCCTCTCTACTATTCCTCTTCTTGATGTTGTGTTGTGTTGCACGCCTCCACAAGCCTCTAGCCGTAGGATTGCATATCTCTCTCTCTCTCTCTCTCTCTCTCTCTCTCTCTGAGTGAACGCATTTAACCCTAGAAAGAGAGACTGTGTGTATGTGGGTGGGAAGGCATTTGTGATGTTATAACTTTCTTTAAACAGTGCGTCTCAATCACCAAATTAATTTGGAACTTCCATACTCCAGACAGAATATTATAATTTGTTCCCTTCCTCCGCTAGCTCTCTCTTTCTCTCTTCTTCATCAATCTTTCTTTCTTTCTTTCATTGCTTATTCTCTTACACATAAAACTTCTATCCTTTAAAATAGCAAACAAAAGTTGTCATCATTATTCCTAAAAGGTTGGGTTATAAGAGCAGTCATTTATGTGAATTCTGATGTCAATTAAATCCCATCATTTCTCCTAAAAGTTGTCTACACATTATTTTAGCTTCAGAGATAGTTTTAACGTCAAGAAAATGCCATTTCAGTAGCACGCAAGCTTATTGATAATCCGTGCATGAGATATAGAGGGAGAGAAGGACCATATTCGAAGGCAGGTCGGGGTAAAGAATTGTTTGGTCACTTGTCACGCCAGCAATTTTAGGGCCAAACAACTTCTGCAATAGATATCTTGTTAAGACCTGCATATTGATAATGGTATATGGTGCCTCAGGATCAGGGTAAATACTGCACATTATAACTTGAAATCGATAAGAAAGATATTGTCAATAATTCTATAGTAGCTTGGAACAGGAAATGTACCCCGAGAATTCCAAAAACAGCTAAATGAATTAGACATGAAGCATAGTTCAATATCTTAGGCAACTCTTGATCGGATTCCTGAAAATGGAGGGAAAAAAAAAAGGTTAGTATAAATATAATGAATTTGAAATGTTTTAAATATTCATCTTATAAACTTTCACCAGCAAACATTAAAAAAAGTAAGAGACCCAAAAACCTACAAAACAATTGTTAAAGGGAGCTCACGTTTGTAATGTCTTCCGGACCCACTTTCTCATCAAGAGAAACTGGGTTCATGAGCTGACCTGATGCCATTCCATAAGAGACAAAGTTTGATGCTGGAATAGGGGCAATAACTCCCGTTGCTGTGGTGCGGTCATTACTATTAGGCATGTGGAAGCTGCTACTCTCACTGTGCCTTCTGCTATGAAGAGCTCGATCCCCAATGTCTCCTGCCTCAGAAACGCTCTCACTCTCGATATCATCGTCTACATGATGGCTTATGCGCCTTGATAGGGTCAAGGAGTTCCTACTAACTGAAGAACTCCAACTGTCCATCCGCTCCATGAACTGCTCGTGATTGTTTCCTCCTGAATTAACTACAAATGCGCCATAGAAGCCAAGTAAAAATCAGCATGGATAATATCCAGCATCCATCACCATAAGTCTTTTTTATTCCTTTGTTCCTTTCCATTTCTTTTTTGACAATTAAGGACGAATTCAAGATCACATCATTTATTCATTATCATTGATTGACAACTATTCACATCGAAGAAACTAGCAACGCGAAAGCAAAATAACTGCTACCAGCAACTTACAAAGTAATGAAAAAGAAAAGTTCTCAACTAAAGCAATGGTACACTTGCAAGTACAGCAAGTCTCCTGTCTCCATATAAGAGTAAAATCAAAAGACAATTCTATCCTCCAAAAAGAGCGAAACATAGCATACTAAAATGAATTGTTTATTAATTTATTTGCTAACTATTAAAATGAATTATTAACTCGCTCATTTTAAACATGCAGCTGATAAATCAAACCGCACTAAAATATTTGTTACTGCCATGTTGGAAATGGTAGAAGTCCAAACTTCGAATATTCACGAGTCACCTTGAACATTTTCTTTCTCTTTTCTCTGGTGGCTGTCAAAATAGAATAAAAGATTGACGGGACCATAGCGACTCATGCACCAGCCGTTCATGGGCAATTTCAAATGAACAATAAAGCTAAGAGTAGAACTTTGGTATTACCTTAATACCAATATCCAGATACCTAAGTCTGCTGTGCTGGTATCTGTATATCATCTAAAAAGTAAAAGTCCCAGCGCTCTATGATGTCATCATTTTCCCGTCCCACTCAAAATCTATAAAAACCGTCATCACACTATTTCTATTTTTTTGAATAAATTTTATAATCCTGTAACATTCTCTGAAAAATAACCAAAGTGTCTCTGGCAAAAAAAAAAAAACGAAATGTCATTCATAACATTATCTCTGCATGGAACGAAACAGAAGTGTTACATTTAGGTGAATATTAGCTGATATTTCCTATATAGTAAAAATCCAAAGTAACTTCTCATTAATATATATATATATATATATACGCACATATGAACACTTATGAGTTCGTAGCTCCCTAGAATTTATCTACTTACGACAATCAAACCGGTGAGAAATATTGAAAGACAACATCAATGAGGAAGTTGAGGACGGGAAGAAGAAAGAGAAGAGCGTTAGGTAAGGTACGGTACCTCAAGAAGGACATGGAATCCGACAGCGGAGGCGAACGGGCTCGGAACTCGGCCGAATGCAGGCGATGGAGGAGACGTTTGAATCTGATGAAAAAAGAGAGGAGAGAAGCAGAAGACGAAGAGAGGTGGCTGTGGCGATTTCCTTCTCCCTAGGCTTGGAGTGCATGACTCTTCGTGCTTTTTGCCAAGGGAGAAAAGCGGGGCCTGGAAATCTCCACGTCTTCCTTTCCCTTCCCATTTGTTAACTTTCGCTATCAATTTTTGTTCGGGACAAAATTGTTTTGTCACTTGAAAAATTTAGTATGACCAAAAAAAAAAAAACAAATTAGTCAAGTGAAAAATAGCCTAAAAAGTAAAAAATGATTAATTAAATAAGTTGAACCTATTTTTGTTTTTTACAATAGAATAAAACCAAGTTATCTGAATAAAAATAATTTTAGGGAGAATATCAGTTAAGGGTTTAGAAATAATTTAATTTCATAAAAAAAACCATTAACAAGTACTCCCTTCAAATTAAAATATGAAGTATTGATAACAAATACATGATTTTAAAAATGTTAGTGGAAATATTTATTTAATAAAAAAATTTATATCTTTTTTATTATATTTTTATTAAATATTTTATATAAGTATTTTAATAATAAAATTAAAATTTTGATGTATCATTTTTTTAAAAAAATAATAAATAAAATATACGTATGATTGAAAAAATTATAGTTATTAAATATCTTATATTTTAAATCAAGTAGGGTGTGGGAGATGTCCAAGGAAGAAAACAACAGACGAAAGAAACAAATAGTAAGGAAGGAGAATAAAACCGAGTGAACGCGAAACGTGCCTCGGTAGAAAGGGAGGCCAATGGGCCACGGGTCGTAGCCACAGGTGTCTGCATGATGTATAGGATATTTTAATATTAAAAGATAAAAAGAAAATAAAATAAAATATATCAATTAAAAAATAATTATTTATTGTACTCAAAATATCATATTTAATGTATTTAAATAAATTAAAATTCAAATAATAATTTATCCAATATTAAAAATAGTTTTTCTCATGTATATTAAAGACAAAATAATTATTTATTTTATTTTAGAGCATGTAATTTCTTGAAACATTTGTATTTTTTCTTTGATTAATGTGTAGAAAAAGTTTGAAATCAAATTAAAAAATATAATTTTTACTAAGTTTTCCCTCATAATTAATAAAAAAATATTTTTTTTCTATAATTTAAGTAGTAATTTTGTTTTGCAATATCTTATCCTTATCATAAAGGTAACTATTTAAGGGCCTTATGTATACTTCCTTCATTTAAAAATGTAAAGCATTTTTAATCAAATTTTACCTTTAATAAAATAGTTACCTATTTCAAATTAACCTTATCTTTTTATATTTACCCCTATTAAACACCCGATAATAAATATAAAGTCACTATCAATAGGGGCACTTTTGAAAAAAAAGACAATAATTATACCTTAAAAGACTAAAAATGCCTTACATTTTTAAATATTCAACTCTTCAAAAAATAGCTTACATTTTTAAACGAAGAGAGTATTAAAAGTATTTTTGAATCCTAGATTTGTTTGCCCATGCATGATCCTAAAAAAAATAAAATGTATACTATAAGAAACAATATACTATAATTTATGTCATAATTGTATTTATAAATTATAATTATAGCCAAAAATAAGAATAAATAAAAATTATTTTTATATTAAATAATAATTTTAAATTAAGAAAATAGCATAGTTAATATTATAGTATTCTTTCATGTCCTATATATAAGTCACTTTTAATTTAACCACCTTACTATAATTAAGGAGATGAGTTAAATCATTAGTTTTTTGTCTAAAAAGGAAAAAAATTAATTTTTCTTTATTAAATGCATCATATTTAAAAGATAATTTCTCTCTTATATATAATTTTTTTCCTATATTCATAAAAAATATAAATTTTTATTTAGCTTTATATTTTATTCTACTATTTATCATCATTGTTGCATATCAACACTCACATTTTTCATTGCAACTCTCATATTTATTATTTATTTTTTACTTTTAATTTTACTTTTATTTTTTAACCAAGGGTCTCATGACTATGTTTTTAATTATGAGCCCCACATTCTTATAATTCTCTCAAAACTTTTTCACTTACACAAAAATAAAAAATAAAATAAATTTATTAAAAAATAATATTAAACTTTACTATATATATAGATTAGGGAAAATCTGAAACAAGGTTCTTTGAAGACAAATAATTACTTCTTTTATTTAAAAATATAAGATATTTTTTAAAGAGTTGGATGTTAAAAAAGTAAGGCATTTTTAGTCTTTTAATGTATAATCATTGTCTTTTTTCAAAAGTGCCCTTATTGATGGTGACTTTATATTTATTATAGGGTAATCAATATAAATAAATATAAAAAGATAGGGTTAGTTTGAAAGTAGGTAAGAATTTTATTAAAAATAAATTCGATTAAAAATATCTTATATTTTTATATTTTTTAAAAGAGAAAGTACATTATAAGACTAAATGATTCTCGATTTGTGCATGTCATCTTTGTGCAGAGGTCATGTTAATCTTTTCTGTATTATTTCAATTTTATCGGATGTCCCGTAAGGGATTAAGACTAAATGATTTTAATATTAGTTTATAGGATTAAAGTATCTACTTTTATTATGAAAAGATAAAAATATTCTTTATATGTATATTACTGACTGAAGGAAACTAACGGAGAGGCGGGCGAATCAAACCAGAAGCAAGAAGAGAATGACAGCCGAAGCTTATGAGCCTCTCGTTCAATCCCAACGTACTTCGACTTTAGAATCCTCCCCATCCCTAACTCGTACGATGTTTATTTACGCATCCCAACTTTTTCATTCAAAAGTGGCTGCAAAATAAGTGGAAGCGAGACTTTCAAGAGGGCCCTTGTTTTGTAAAGGCTTTATTATTTATAAATACCATTCATCTTCGGAGAGAATTTCAATTAAAAGTTATGGATGGGACTTAATTATTAGTGAGTTTTAAAAAAATTTAAAATTTTAATTCAATTCAAGAAAATTAAAATGAAAATAATTTTAATGGTGAAAAAATCAAACCCTTCACTTGTTATATAAAATTATTAGTTGTTAATTTTCTTACTTTACTTATTAATTTATCAAAATGAGTTGTAAATTGTATCCATTTTATTAGACAAGCAATAATATCAGTTGTAAATTATAATATTTGTCAATAATTTATAATTGATATTAGTAAATTAATAAGTGAAGCTAGCAATTTAACAACTGCTATTGTTATTTGTGATTAAATAACTAATGTCAAATCTTGTATAATTATTGACATATAAATTCATATAATTTACAACTCATATTAATAAATTAATAAGTAAAATAAAAAAATTAATGACTAATAATTCTGCATAATAAGTGAAGGATAATTTAAACTTTTTACTATTAAAATTATTTCACTCTAATTCCTTTGGACTGAACTAAAGTTTCAAATTTTTTTAAGACCCATTAGTGATTAAGTCCCATCCATGATCCTTAATTAAAATTCTCTCTTATCTTTACCCCTTCCTGCTACTACTAGGGTGCGCCGGGCGTTACGGTCTAGAGCCAAAATTCTCATTCTCACTGTCAATAAAAAGCCGAATATGAGAATTAGCTTAAGCTGTCAAATTTAATGGCTGATCTCTTGGAAGAAAACAACAGACAAAACAAACAAATTGTAACGGGAAAGAATGTAAAACGAGTGAGCGCGAAGCATTCCTTGGTAGGAAGGGAATAAGACGGTACCACTGCGGGTGAGTGGTAGCCACAGGTTCCTCATCCCTTTACGAAATGCACTTGTAAATTTTTACACTAAACTTATCATCCTACTCATAACAGCTTGATACCTTTATTAGGCCTGCGGGTTGAGGCCCGTGATCGGTGGCCCATGAATAGCGGTGTCCTTAGGAGTTAGGGCTGTCTATTTCCGTCCATTGGTTTAGCCTATTAATTTTAAAAAAAAATAAATCATTCAGTTTTTATAGCCTTAACTCAATTATATCTCAATTTTTTAATATTAATTTATTATAACTCAGTCTCTGAAGTTTTGACTCGATTATAAATCAATCCCTAAACTTTACCTTTTACCTCTTGCAATTTAATCCATGAAGTTTCAATCTCTTAAATATTGATCTCTATATTTTAAAAAATATAATTATAAAGATTAAAAATATTTTAAACTTTTAATAATTTAAAATATTAGTAATAAATTTTAAAATATTTTGAATCTTTACAATTTTATTTTTTAAACTATAGGGATCAATTTTTAAGAAGTTGAAACTTCAGATACTTAATTATAAGAGACAAAGTTTATGGACTAATAAATAACTACGTCAAAACTTCAGAAATTGAGTTAGAACGAGTCAAAATTTAGGAATTGAGTTACAATTAAGTTAAAACTATAAGGATGAAATGATTAATTTTTTCATTAATTTTTATTTGATGGCCTCCCATTGGATGCAAGTTGGTCCTCTATACTCATATTGAATATTTACTTAAACCTTGGATCAATTATTATGTATGTTCGGCACTACTTAGAATTCTTGTTAAGCCAGCCACTTCTAATATGCCTTTCTTTAATATTCTTCTAATGTCCCAACTTTTTAATTTTATTTTTTTAAATT